AGAAGCACTTCTACTACTATAATGATCACTGGGCATGTATGTGATCATAGGAATAATATCGTCTCGGTCTGAATCAGTTCACAAATTATGTACACATAAAAAATTATGTACATATACGTATATGGGGCCATAAGAGGACAAGTAAATGAAATCAAACAAATATTATTACAACTCACTAGCTCCGAAAGGCTTTCTTTCTCATTAGAAAACTGCGCGCAAAAGCGTTTTTGCACGATACGTGGAAAAGGTTTATAAAATTCGAACTTGACGATGTACTGTGGTGCACCTAACTTTTTCTTTCGATGAAAAAAAAGATAACGACACGTTCAACTACGCGATATGTCGTACATTACTTATTTGTGTAATATAAATCCGTTAGTATATTTTTTTCTTATTATTGTTGACATTAAATTATCAATGATAACTAACAGTGTTTATTAAACTATTTTAATTCGTCGAAGCACTAAAATAAATTCAGTAATCACTTAATCACACAGAATTATAACTACAAGCAAAAATAAACATTGATGAGGGAGGAAATTCAGTACACACCCGAAGGTAAACCTTTTCTTTTGATTCAAAAAACAGATGTTTTATAGTTAGTTGTGCTTTTCTTTCATCTACCATTTTCCGCGCTGTAGTGAGGTAAAAAATTGTGTGTTTCGCTCGGCAGCAAAGTTGTTTTGCGTTTCGTGCCTTGAAACCCTCGCTACACTCAGGAATCTTAGCTTCATTCGCTTGCTCAGGTATCTTAGCTTCCTTTGCTTGCTCAGGTATCTTAGCTTCCTTCGCTTGCTCAGGAATCTCAGCTTCCTTCGCTTGCTCAGGTATCTTAGCTTCCTTCGCTTGCTCAGGTATAAATACAAGTATTCGCGTCAAACAACAACTTCGCATCCTTGCAAACGACGATTAACACACTACACCGCGCCCCGTAATGGAGCGCGGAGCTGCATTTTATAACGTTGTACCTCAGTTTGTATGGAAAAAACGCGCCGTCCAACACACTGACAATTCATCTCCGGTTTTATGGTATGGTATGGCACACTGCGCTCCGCACTACCGCGCAAATTTTTAAGCGTAAGGACGTGTTCAGTTTTCTACAATAGATCTCGACATCGATAAATTTATATTTGCTACTGAAAATAATCGACCAAATTTATTTTCATAGTTTCTCAAATATTCATATTCTCTTCTTTCCGTATTAATAACCATTCTTGTCAAAGAAGGATCTCGGCTACATGTACAATCACCATGGCGATCAACTACGAAGCGAGTACTTTAATGGCGCGAAGCAGCTAGACCGGTGCCCCACACAGATTAAACCGCGCGTTGACGCAGATCTGCCTCTCCGCCACCGCGCGCGGGATTCCGCGGCGTGGGGCGCGGTGTGTTAATCGCCTAACAAATAACTATTTCGTATTTATTTAGTATTTCATACATTTCCTGAAATAAATGATTTGATTTTTTTTAAACAACTACACTATAATACTTTTCCTCGTTTGAGTCATGGTGACACTTCTAAGTACAATTTTATAGTTTGTTTATTAAACAATGGAATGAATCCATGTTCTCGTTGTTTTTATTGTGTTTGTTCATGCTTTACTGTTTTGTTATGACGCGAAGGGCATTATCTATAGCGTTCATTGGCTTCTCCCGCTTGCGGAGCAGACGTAAATCTTTTGAATATTTTTGTTTTTAATAACGTCATGTGACCGAACGGGCAAGTCGTGCGCCTGATAGTAATCTAGACGCCTGTCCATAACAGTTGCAGTGCTACTAAATCGTAAAGAAATGAGGGGCACCGCCACTGCGCCCGCCACCCTGAGACATAAGTTGACAAGTCGCATGTGCCTGTAATTTCACCAGCACCCTTACCCTTCAAAACTAGAACCCAGTAATGCTCACATTACAGCTTGGCGGCAGAAATAGGTGAGGTGGCAGTGCTACCCTGGACGAACTCTTTCACAAGGAGCTCTACTGCTACTAAAGTTTATTGATATTGAATTGTTTTAGTGAAATAACTCTTGTTATAGTTATTAATACAAAGAATCCTTCGACCCGGCTGGATTCAAACCAGCGTCTTCTAGCAAACCGTGCTAGACGCTATGCCAACTAAGCCACGGAACGAACCATCGGACCTTACAAATTTTTGTATGTGCTTGTTGCAGATCTTTCAGTTTGTTTTTAACAAAAATTTTTTGCCGTGGCGAAACATATGAAAAATCTATTTCTTCACTCAGCCAGTTACTTTTATAGCATAGTTCCCAAAATGATCCCTACCGCCTGAAGAGTCCTAGTGGGGGCGGTAGAGGTTTCGGAAGCAATTGAGGGACGTTGATTAGTTCAGGGGGTGCTACCGCTTTTGAAAAAAAAACCAGAACTATGTACATAAACTACGCTACAAATATACGTATAATTTTTGTACCTTGTGTTTTTTGTGTTAAGTTAATATAAAAAATACGTGTTCTCAATTATTTTTTGTGGTGGTGAGCGTTGAAAATTTTTTATCTTCTCTAAGTGGGCGGTAAGCCAAAGAGTTTGAGAACCTATGCTTTATAGCTACCACCAGCTTACAACAGATGTCGCTTTAATAATTGTAAATAAGTTTATTGAATGTCAGGATGTTTCATCACCATGATATTCAATTATTTTTTGTGAAATTAGTCCACTAGTTTGTTATATTTATTAATACAAAGATCGAACACGTACACGTCTGTCTTTTTTGAAGATGGAGTAAAATGACATTTGACACACACACAGTTGCCAGTTTTTGTAAAATTGAAAATAGAAATGTAGTTGTTGTCGACAATTTTATCGATAGATTGTGACTGTAAGTAAAATTTTGCCAAAAATTACGAATTGTGAATATTACGACGTTCTAATTATTACTAATTAAGTTAAAGTATTCGTTTTGACAGATTTTGACAGTCAGTCTATTAGTACCGAAAGTAATGTTTAGTCATATACATTATAATAACGATAGGCGGATTTTATTATGTATATTAAAATCAAATGAAACCTTCAAAATATGCATGTATGGATATTATATTTGGTATACGTATGTATGAATTTTCAAAAATTATCAATTCAAACGAACCTGTGTCCAGCAGTTGAACGAATAGTGTACCGATGATGTTTCAGATGAAACACGTTCGGCTATTTATTCATATGTGTAACCACTTTCACTCGATGTAATATTTATCGACTGCAATCACTAGCTGCTCGCAAGCGGGCAACACTTTCGCGTAATGAACTGTCATTTTACTCCATCTTCAAAAATGACAGACTATGGAAAAAATCCTTCGATCCGGCTGGATTCGAATCAGTGTCTAATAGCAAACCGTGCTTCGGTCAAAATCTTCGCGTTGGTTTTTAAAGACTCTTTTGCCGTAGCGCCATCTGTGACAAATCTATTTTTTCACTCAGGCAGGTACCTTTACAGCTACTAATAACAAGATGTTACACCACCATAATTTTAAAAATTCAGGCAAAATAATAAGTTTGTCACTATCGACTCATCCATAGAAAACAGATCTATGTGCAAGACTATTTGTTCTCAGGATATAGTACACTTCGTTCGTTCTTCTTCGCTGTGGATGTCAGGAAGCCTACTATGAGCAATCCTATTTAAGCCTGTAAGTTGGATTGCCTGTCAAATTCGTACTATGACCTCACAAAAACAATTCACTGTCCATGCAGTTTCCCATTTGAAATCCATTCACTTTTCCTTTCATAGCAAAATCGTATCATGACGTGCCATTTGCCATGCAAAAGGCGTGCAAATGGCGGTCTCATCTGTAAAACTAAGCAATTCAAAAAAAGTTACTCCGTGACTAACTTTTCCACATTTTGTTACATTTTTAAGAAATTTCGTTTAAGTTTTATTATATTTTCAGTTTCATAATTATTTGTTATTTTTGGCTAAGTAGTCAATTGGCAATAAAAATATACTATTAACTATTGAGAGTTTTCTTTAGCATTTATTGAAAATTTTAGTTTGAGTTCCCAAACTTTAAAGTATTGTTCATAAATTATTGGCTTGAATGTAATTGCAATTTTTAAATGGAATTTTAATAATTTCAATGACCGAAAATCGTAAAATAACTTTTAAATAGTGCCAAATATGACTTTAATGCAATCACTGAAAATGTACGAACACAAGGTACATTCCATCTATGTTATCAAATTACAAACTCACCTTATTAATTTCAATTATAATGACTAGACATGACATGTAATTTTGTCATATGACAAATTGTAAAGTATGATTGAAAAGTATTGCTGATATTACAAAACAAGGTAACAAGTATAATCAATAATAAAATTATAACAATTATTCTCATTTTTAACACAATGGGTTAATAATATATAAAGAACTCATCTCCAACTCCAACATATGTAATACAGTTCAAGTGATTTACGTCTCTAAAGTCTCGTTATATCCGAGACTGACAACTTCATTATCAATATTTAGTAGCAGTAAAGCTCATTGTGAAAGAGTTCATCCAGGGAAGTACTGCCACCTTGCCTATTTCTGCCGCCAAGCAGTAATGTAACCATTACTGTGTTATTGTTTTTAATGGTAAGGGTTCTGGTAAATCTATAGGCACATGGGACTTGTTAACTTATGTCTTAGGGCTTAAAAACTGACTTCAAAAGTTCATGGAATTACATCTTTTTGCTAAGTTTTATTGAAATTAATTACCGGAAAGTGCGATAACTGGATTCATCCCCTAGTTTGCCACCCTTAGAGGTGGAATTTTTTTTCTTCAAATTTAAATGGTACCAATATTGAGGTACCCTCTTTCCAACAAAAAAATAAATTGTCGAAATCGGTTCAAAGAACCTCCTCCTTGTTTTTAAGTTGATTGAAAAGATTAAAACATCAGTCTCGAGTCTCAAAAATTCCAGTGATGAATGCCATTACGTTATACAAATGTTTAACACCAATCACATAGGTGGAGAAAAAAAACTTTATAATTATATACCATAAGACTTACCTCTGTTGTTGGTTCAATTGTAGAAGACGCATTCGGAGACCCTGCATGTGCGGCAGCCAGCAAACACGTCGCCGCAAACGCCGCGCCTGCAAAGTACAGTGACCGCCGATGCATTTTTCCTGAAATCGAAAACATTGCACATTATTGTACGTATATAAATAAAATAAAGAATTTATTGAATTAACTTAATTTCCGTTTTTCTAAAATAGGCCCAAAAACAGTTTTAGAAAACTGTTTCAGGGCTGTTCAAAACCGCTTTACGCTTCCTTGTAAAATTTGAGTCTTATGCTAGATGCATTCAGTTGATATTTTAATGACAAATGAAACCGCCTACAGTACACCTGAACATTTCGTCAACCAGTTCTAGGCAAAATGTCTGGAAAAATATGAAAGGAAGTTAGTCTTTATTTAAAGTGTTTTTTGAAAATGTTTCTGGAAAGCGTTTCTTTTGAGATGATAACCATTTAGCTTTTCAATAAAGACATTGTAACCCAGCTCTACTTTGAAGTAAACTTAACCTATGAAAAATGGCAGACTATTATTCTAAGGCTTCTTATGATCCTCAATTGTAAATTAAACTACCCCTGAAACTGTTCTAAGCAGAAACATTTCACAAGAAAATGCAAAGCATTTGTCTAAAGGCAAATATACTTCACAAGAGCTGCCACAACGGTATAATGCACGACCATTCACACGTTGACTTATCACAACAGCTGACTGCACAAGATAGCAAAATGTATGTCAGGACTTTTGTATTAAACTTTGTACTTACTGAGCGTAAAATTTGTTAAATATTTTCTTTACTTAGTTCGGAAGCTCCCATACGGATCAGTAACTAACACAACGTAGGTAATGAACAAATATTTATAACTGTTGCAGTCAAATAATCGTGTACTTACGTATATAGTGTGAAACTATCTAATATAAAATAAATAATGCGCCAATTAACGTCTAAGTACGCAAAATAGTTGTAACTATTAATAGTTAGTGATAAGAAAACTAGACGCTAGCAATTTAGACAATTATGTGTAGAAATTATTTCTAAAATGCGGTCTGAAACGTCAGCCAAAAGTGAAGGTACAATTTAACTTACCGATTCTATTAATTATTGGCCGCAAATTGGGAAAAAATTATTTAAGCGGTAATCACGATGTTTTTAGTGTTTACCACATGTCTTTTAAGGAAAAAACTCGTTATATGATGTGAGAAAAAACGTTCCACATTTTTCAAGCAAATTCACAATTTCCATTTGACAAAGTGACGTTTGAAATTGGCGTGGTTAAGGTCACGGCAAATAAAAACAAAAAAGTTGTAACTACTATTATACCACCGGTGTTTTATAATAAATTTGACAAATTCTTGTAGAGAAAACTGGCTGTGTAATATTTTAGCTAGCGCAAGCAGTCAACAAAACAGCTATTATTAAAATATAGATCGGTTTCCAAAGAACACAAAGATTTCGCAAACGATCAAATAAACCATCAAACAAGTTTGACAAACTTGCATGTAGTTCACATTCGGTTATCTCCTTGTACAGGGTCAAGAGCACTGCAAGCTTGACACTTAAGATTTAAATCCAACTCTATGCCGCTTACGATAAAAAAAGAACTGTCCAAGCTTGACACTTTGTACTTTGGATCGTTCTTATCGTAAGCGGCGTAGAGTTGGATTTAAGTCTTAAGTGTAAAGCTTGACGTGCTCTTGACCCTACACGTCCCGCAGGTACAGGTATACATAATATAAGGAGTCATATCTCTTTGTAATTTGTGCAATGAGTAAGAATAACAGATAAAGCGTTTTTGGCATTAACTCTAGCTCAATGTACTAGGAGGAAAAAGATATAGATTGTAAAAAAAAGATATAACTCTAGGGAATGACTGAAATTAAGAAAAAATATATACCCATGAAAATGTATTAAAAGAAATTTTGCGCACAGATGACAGTTGTAATTTAGGGAAGATTTAGGATTACTGGAATGAAAATGGAGTTTTAATAATGTTTATTTTTAGGTAAAAAAATTAAAGTCAAAGTCAAAGTCAAAGATGATTTATTCCATAGGTAAAATAAATTTACACTTGAAAACGTCACATTTAAGGTACTGCTCGTTCACTACGCTGACCTCCCTGAGAAGAACGAGCAAGAAACTCTAGGGATTGCTCTTTTCAAATAAACTTAAATGCTATGGAATACATTTTGAATCAAATTTGTGTGGATTCTGGAGCCATGTCGTCTTTCCATACATCTTTATCTAACACGTAGTCTTCAATTTTGTAATATGCTTTTTCGATCAAAATATTTTTAATGTACTTTTTAAACTTAGGAAATGATAAACTTAATATATGCTCCGGAATCTTATTGTAAAAACGTATACAGTTCCCCATAAAAGAGTTGTTTACCTTGGTTAAACGAAATCGTGGTACCATGAGTTTGGACTTAGCTCTAAGGTTAATATTATGGATATCTTCTTTCTTATTGAAATTATGTATATTTTTACGGGCATATAAAATATTTGAGTAAATGTACTGTGATGCCACAGTCATGATACCAGTCTCCTTAAACTTTTCTCTGAGAGATACCCGAGAGCCTAGACGGTACACAGAACGAATCGCTCGTTTTTGCAATACAAATATGGTTTGAATATCTGCCGCTTTACCCCACATGAGAATCCCGTAGGACATTATACTATGGAAGTAACTAAAGTAAACTAGTCTAGCAGTACTAACATCGGTAAGCTCACGTATTCTGCGGACTGCGTATGCAGCGGAGCTTAATCTGCTGGCCAGGGACGATATATGTGGAAACCACTGAAGTTTACTATCTAAGGTCACTCCCAAGAAGACTGCTTTATTAACAAGGTCTAACTTTTCTCCGTTTATTTCTATGCTTGGACTAGTCGATTTTACGTTAGGTAATTCAAATTTAACACATTTTGTCTTCTTGGCATTAAGCAATAAATTGTTAGCATTAAACCAATAAACTACTTTGGAGAGGGTATCATTAGTACGGTCAATTATATATCGTTCTGTTGTAAGAAACAGCATTTTTGTGCTGTGTGCATAAAAGGCAAACAGTGCAGAATGCCGTTTTATTCTAGCTTTACCAAAACAACTAGCTGAGGGGAAATCGTGCATGGCGATGTTTGTGGCCCCTTTGAAGAAGTGTCTATTGAGGACTTTCTACTGCTGAAAGATGACTATTCTCATTTTCGTTCTGTTTACTTTTTGAAAGAGAAGAGTAAAGTAACTTCTAAAATTAAATTGCACCTTGCACTTAGCGAAAATGAAGGAAAACCAGTAAAGGTATTACGCACTGATAATGGTGGTGAGTTTGTTTAACACGGAAATTAAAAATTTATTAGGATCGAAAGGAATAAAGCACCAGACATCCGTCCCTTACACTCCTGACCAAAATGGCAAAGTTGAACGCGAAATGCGTACAGTCATGGAAGCTGTTCGTACACTATTGAAAGCGAGTCAATTACAAAACGATTTATGGGCTGCAGTTGTAAATACCATTGTTTAAGAGAACGGGAATAAGTTCATAAGTTCGGGAATGAGCTCTTTTATGAGAAGCACTTTGATGTGTCTTGCTTAAGATGTATTTTTGTTCTGAGGTGTGGACTCATGTTCCTAAACAGCGGCGGCGAAAACTAGACAGCAAGAGTAGAAAAGGTTTGTTTGTGGGCTACGGAGAAAATACAAAAGGCTACAAAATATTTTATCCTGAAAGTAAGACTTTTTCGGTTGATTGAGAAATAATAATATCGCCTCATATTGAACCAGTAAGTAACGGAAGAAAACCGGTTGAACCCGTTATCTCGGTAAATTTGGGTTTCACTGACACTATGTCGGCACTAAGTCCAGATATATCCGTTTCCTACACCGATACTGAAGATGTGCATGGTGACACTTTTGATCGTCGTGACAATTTGGTTCCGAATGAGCCTACTAGTGATGAAAGCGCTGCCTCAAATGTAGCGGAAAATATGAATACTAGACTTTGCGACTCAGAGAATGTTTGAAACCGCCTGTTGCTTTACAGGATTATGATACCTCTTATTTTACGTTTTTAGATTCGGAAGAGTATACGTCACTAAAAGAGGCCAAGTCTTCTCCAAATGCTTTAAAATGGGTAGAGGCCATAAAGATGGAAATGAAGGGCTTTGTCCGATAATCAGACTTGGACATTTGTTGACAAATCTGAAGAAGGACTATTAACTGTAGACAGTAAGTGGGTGTTTCGAATGAAACGTAATGTCAATAATGAAATTATTCAATATAAAGCAAGGTTGGTAGCGAGGGGCTTTATGCGAAAAGATATTTTCATGAAGTGTATTCACCTATAGTTAAATTGATGAGCGTGCGAACTTTGCTGTCAATTTCATGCAATCATAACTGGCCCGTTCACCAAATGGACGTATGTGCAGCATTTCTTCATGGGAATATTAAAGAAGATATTTATTTAGAATTGCCAGAAAATTTTGACGTACCGGTTAATAAAACCATGTAAGTTAAAAAGTCTGTACGGTTTAAGACAATCGCCACGTTACTGGTATGATAAGTTTTGTAATTCTATTATAAGTCAGAATTTTCAGAAGATTTGTAGTGATCAGTGTATGTATTGTTTAAAAAATTGTGAAAATACGGTTTTTGTTCTAATTTTTGTAGACGATATTTTGGTCACAGGGTATGGTCCAGTAGTACAAAACGTCATGAATGAAATAGCTAAAGCTTTCAAAATGAAACGTTTGGGGTTGGTCAGTTGTTATCTCGGTATTTTAATCAATCATGACTTAGAAAAAGCTTTGTTTCCCTGAACCAGACCCAGTAGGTACTTTAAAAATGTACTAGATAAGTTTAATATGTCTAACTGTCATGGTATATCCACGCCGTTGAATCCAAATGTAGACTTGTCTAAATTGAAAAAGGAAAAATCTGAAAATAATCTACTGGAATATCGATGTAGGCAGCTCATTGGATCCTTAATGTACGCTATGCTAGGCACTAGGCCTGATCTTTGTTTGACAATAGCAATGCTTTCTAGGCTCCAAAGCAGTGCTAGTCAGGACCTTTGGGTATGTCTTAAACGTGTTTTAAGATACGTTAAGTCAACTATTGATTAAAACCTGAGCTATCACAGAAACAAAAACTGCTATGTGCTTGTGGGCTACGCTGATGCCGACTGGGGTGGAGATTCTATAGACAAGAAAACCACTAGCGGTTATTGTTTCCGTGTTTACGGAAACCTTGTAGCTTGGTATTCGAAAAAGCAGTCTACTGTTGCTCTTTCTTCTTACGAAGCTGAGTTTGTCGCTCTCGCGCCTGCGGTCAATGAAGCCTGCTGGCTTCGATCTTTGCTTTTGGAAATGTTTATTTCAGATGCAATAGTTGTGACCATGTTCGAGGATAATCAATCAGCTATTCGAACTTGTAACTCTCTTGTTCAACCAAAACGAACGAAACATTTGGACATTAAGTACCATTTTATAAAAGAAAGGGTATCCAATGGTCATATTCAAATCAGCTATGTATGTTCAAATGAACAAGTAGCTGCCATTTTAACTAAACCTCTATCTCCTCAAGTGTTTAAATGCCTTGAGATCTTTTGTTTAATAGGTGCTAAATTTTGTGTTTTAGTTTCTTTAATGCTTGCTATCAATTATTTGTTGAGGTATGTGTTTAGAAATGGTGTAAGTGTTAAATTATTTAAATAAGCTTCCCTTTTATGTTTAAAACGTACTTTTATCGAGGGGGCTGTTGAAATTTCAATAAAAGTAGTTTGGTTTATAAATAGACAATAGTCTCATAGGAAAAGTATTGTACTACTGTCATTGTTACTTAGCAAAATAATGTACATCTTTATTACCTAAAATTACACTTAAACACATTATTAAAACTCCGCATTCATTCGAGTAATCCTAAATCTTCCCTAAATTATAACTATGACTATGCGAATCTAGAAAAGTGAACGCTTAAGCGACAAGACAACTGAAGACTGAAATTTAATTTGACTGTTAGAAAAGAAATTGCATGGTGTGTGCAAGCTGCCTTTTCTTAATTTTTTGAAATCTGAAAAATGTCAACTGTCTCTAAATTCTCTCGTGTCAACCGGCTAATTTAGTAAACTTAACTTACCAATTTGCTGCCTTATTGTGGTTCACATTCATCGTCGACTGTTATATCAACAAGGTTGTGGGCGGACGACGTGCATGTATAAACCAACACATTAAATTGCAGTATGTCCAGTGACAATCAGAGGATAGTCGCTGACAGAAGTGATTCGAGTTGTACGAGTGATTCATATGCTGGAACCTGAGCAGTACGCCTGTTATAGAAAAACTTGATGGTATTTCGAACTATTCAACATGGAAGTTCCAGATGGAGATGTACCTTATAGATGCGGACCTATGGGAGTACACGAGTGTCACACCCGATGCTACGGATATTCAATGTACTAAAAGAGACCAACGAGCAGGAGCAAAGATTTGTTTAATGATAAAACCTCATTGTCTGATTCATGTCAAGAAGTCAACCAACGATAAACAGACGTGAGACGCCTTAAGGAATGCATTTGAAGACAAAGGCTTAAACAATCGTTGTGGATTACTATCGAAGCTAGTTAGCTACAAGCTTAACAATTTTTTAACTGTAAGAGATTACGTCAATGCGGTAATGACAACATCTCAAGAGCTGTCAGATCTTGGAAAAGAGGTAGATGATGACCTTTTGGATGCATTATTACTCCAAAGCCTAACACAGGATTTTCAACGTATGAGACTAGCGATAGAAATTAGTAACATTGAGCTTACTACTGATTACGTCAAAACCAAACTTTTCCAAATGGAACAAACGTTCTCTGCTTTTACGTCTGGTACTCTGACATTCTCTGCTTTGTTATCCAAACAGAAAAATTAAAAAAGCCTCAAACACATGCTAAGAAAATGAAATGTTTTATCTATAACGGACCACCCAAAGCCCTGTTTGTCCAGATAACCCAACAAAACGAAAAGAAGCGCTGAATACGTTTGCTTTGGCAACTCAAGTTTCTCAAGACGAATGGATCCTCGATTCTGGTGCTTCGTCACACGTGACTCATAAAAAGGAGTGGTTTAAGGACTATAAGAGTATCAATCCTATCACAGTGTCATGTGCAAATGGCGCTAAAGTATATGGAGAATGAAAAGGTACAGTAGTATGCGAGTCATTCGGGATGACTGTAGTAATGTATATACCTAAATTATCAACTAATTTACTGAGTGTAAGTACCATTGCCGCGAAAGGGTATGTATTTATAGTATTTTATTTATTAATAGTATTTGGTCACAAGAAGTGTGAACTGTTTCAAAGTGATGAATGCAAGATTACTGGTACAGCATTTATCAAAGGTGTAGAAGAGAAAGGCGTATATAAGTTGAAACGATGCTATTTACAGGGTTCTGCTCTCGCGTCCACAACTGAGCGCAATGAGATGTTGGACTTGTGACACCAAAGGATGGGACATCTTGGTATACGCAATCTCTTATTATTAAAAAACAAAATGGCGATAGTGGTAAGTTTTCCTGGAAACTGTTTGAAACTCCAGTGTGTATCTTGTTTAATGGGAAAACAAACTAAACAACCTAGGAAAAAGAACACAGGTGCTGTTCGAGTCACAGACGTGCTAAGTCTGATCCACTCAGATGTCTGTGGGCCGAAGAATGAAATGTCTTTCGGCAAATGTCGTTACTTTCTTACCTTTATCGACGATTTCACGCGCAAAACATTTTTCTATTTCTTAAAGCATAAAAGTGGAGTTTACGAGAAATTTCTAGAATTTAAAGCACTTGGTTGAAACACAAACTGGTAAAAAGATCAAAGCACTTAGGAGCGACAATGGGAAAGAATTTGTGAACCAAAGAAAAAACAATTTCTTAAAATTCAACGGCATACAACATCAGCTCACCGTGGAGTATACTCTAGAGCAAAACGGCGTTGCCGAACGAGCCAATCGTACTATATGTGAAAAGAGCAGATCAATGTTGAACGGTTTTCAAAGGAAATTTTGGGCAGAAGCTGTCCAACATGCCGTCTATTTAAACAATAGATTACCTACTATAGCTTTAAAAAATAAAACTCCAGAGGAAACATGGACAGGTAGGAGGTGTAACCTAGATAATATGAAGGTTTTCGCATGCAAAGCCTTCATGAACATTCTTCACCAAAAACGGAAGTTTGATCCTAAAAGCCGAGAGTTAGTCCATGTAGGATGTTGGGAAAATGCCAAAGCCTACCGACTATTGGATCCTATAATTAGTAGAGTATATAAAGCAAAGGATGTGGTATTCTTTGAAGATCAATTATGTAAACGTAATGAACTCTCTAACTCAGGTGCAGAACTTCAGGTTCAAGTGGATCATCAACTACTGGAAGAAATCCACTTACCCAGTTCTGAAATATCTACCGAGGTAGATACAAATATCAGAAAATATGATGAGTTACCTCAAGCTGAAGCAGAAACTCAAATTGTTGATCAAGTCAGTTTTCAGTAGAAGCGTACAAAGAGCCTGAAGATGAAACTGAAGACGATAACTACGTGTCAGCTGATGAAGGACAACGAGCAGAGCCTATGACTGAAAGGAGGTATCCTTTAAGAGAAAGGAAAGCCAAGCAGTTCCCTGATTACATTTTGTATTATGCAACTGAAATGGAAACGGACCCGACTTCAGTTCATGAAGCTTTGTTAAGAAAAGATGGTGATAAATGGAGAGCAGCAATTCGAGAAGAATTAGATGCACTCTGGTAAAACCTCCTAAAAACTGCAACGTAGTTGATTCCAAATAGTTATTTAGAATCAAAGAAGAGGGGGGAAATAAGATGAGGAACAAAGCGCGACTAGTTGCACGTGGTTTTAGTCAGAGATGGGGCATTTACTACCGTGAAACCTTTTCTCCTGTGGTGAGACATAGCTCGCTAAGGTTATTGTTAGCATTAGCAAGCAAGATGGAGCTAAATATTGACCAAATGGACGTAAAGACTGCCTTCTTAAATGGGGAATTAGCTGAAACCGTTTATATGAAGCGAACTGAAGGTTTCGAGGTAGAAAACAAAAAAGAATATGTCTGTAAACTCAATCGCTCTTTATATGAATTAAAAACAAGCACCGAGGGCGTGGAATAAAAATTAGACAGTGAATTGAAACAACTTCAATTCAAACAGTCAAAAATCGAACTCTGCATATATACAAGATCCAGAGGTAGCACAGTTATCATCCTAGCAGTGTATGTTGATGATACGTTAATATTCTGGAACAACAGAGACGAACTTCACAAGGCCAAAGAAGACCTGATGTCCAATTTTGAAATGAAGGATCTTAGACAAGCAGATCTTATTTTGGGTATCAGAATTACCCAAAATAGAAATAAAATAAAAATAGACCAAGAGAAATACGTCGAAAAACTTCTCAAAACGTATGGCATGGAAGATTGCAAGACAAGTGCTACTCCGGCCACACGTGGGTCTCATTTGTCAAAAGAAGGAAATTCTGAAAAACATAAAAACAAACGAAAGCATTCCATACCAAAACTTGATCGGATCCTTAATGTACCTACCTGTGTGCACTAGACCGGATATAACGCATACGGTTAGTACTTTAAGCCAGTTCAATACTTGTTTCACACAAGAACATTGGATAGCGGCATAAAGAGTTTTATGATATCTTAAAAGGACAAAATCCTACGGAATAAAGTATTCTAAAAAGTGCAGTTTCGAAAAACTTGTACAAAGATTCTTAGATGCCAGTCATAGTGGAGATATGGCTCGGAAATTCTGGTCTGGTTACGTTTTTACGGCTCAAGGAGGCGCTGTATGCTAGCAGAGCAAAAACAGCGGACAAAAGCGCTTTGAACAGCTGAAGCGGAATATGTGGCCCTATCAGAAACAACGAGATATGCAGTATTCATTAGAAGACTTATAGCAGAGATCACCTGCGCTGAGTAACAGTGCATCACCATCTTCAGTGATAGTCAATCTGCTATAGCCATTACAGAGAACCCTGTGCACCACCAACGCACTAAGCATATTGACCTACGTTATCATTTTGTCAGAGAAGCTGTAGAAAACAAGCAGGTAGTAATAAACTACATTGAAACAAAATGTATGGTTGCAGATGTTTTAATTAAAGCCTTGGTGAAAGGAAAATTTGAATGGTGTGTGTGTGTGTGTGTGTGTGTATATGATGGGTTTGGGAGAGTGTTTGAGTGAATGATTTCTTAAAATTTAAGGAGGAGTGTTAGAAAAGAGATTGCATGGTGTGTGAAAAATATCAACTGTTACCAAATTCTCTCGTGTCAACCGGCTAATTTAATAAACTTAAATTACCAATTTACTGCCTTATTGTGGTTTACATTCATCGTCGACTGACGATATCAACATTGACAAACACGCCAGCATACCTTCAAACATGTATGTCAAACACGGCGTCAATCTAGATTTCCATCCAACATGTAGATTATTTGACAAACCCATCAAACACGACCGCACTAAGCCGCAGACAACCAAAAAATTTGAAACGTGTAAAATTTTGCTAATTAATTGATCGTTTACGGAGCACTTTACAGGTGGATTTTTGAATTTTTGCGCTATTCACTAAGATTACGTTTAGTATTTGCATATTCAAAAATATCACGCCAAAAAAAGCATCGAAAAGTTATTTAATAATCAACTTGACAGTGACAAAACGCATTCAATCTGACAACGCATTACGTCTCTCCTTGGTCTACTCCAAGCTTAGAGGATGGAAAAAAAATAGTCTAAGACTCCAAGTACTTTGTGGTCTACTCCCTTCAGATTCGCTCTGGGCCTATTGGAGGGAAAACTGTCGTTTTTATTTTGACTCTCAATTATTTTGTGAAATCTAGTTTAAAGTGGAATAGGATAGTGCTATTGTGCCTTAATCGAAGATTAAAACGCGAAATTATACGAATCTCGAACTAAAATTAAAATACCCGTATCTGCCCGTTCAGGAATCCCGAGTCAATCCAAGCACACCGGCACCGCCTCAAATTGCCTATCCCCATAATAATGTACCAAGACTTGGCTGTATGGTGTAAAACCTTTGCCTTTTCCTTTATGGAAAGAAGAAAAAAAAATCTCTCCCTTCACCCTTGTGGCTTGTTGTTGGTTTTGGTTACCTTCACAAACCACTAATCGTTCTTTGAATTTTGTTTCTAACCAAAAATGCCTCTTGATTATCGAAGATTCAACGGTCCCGACGACAGTGTTTCCTACAAACGGTTCACAAAATCATATACAAAGAGTTTTGATGAACTTCGCGATGAATTATTGGATAAAAATGGCAAAAGAAGAGATGGGCGCGCATTGGATGAAGCGCGATCCTTGTGTATGTTTTGTATGTGTTTTGGGGGTTAAAAGGACTAATACATTGGATCAACAATGGTGGAAAACTTAGTATTAAGCTTTATGTACGTTTCAGTTGCGAGAACCGACATGGTGAGCCAAGCTAAAGGGTCTTCATACGTAGAACAATATGACACTAAAGTTGTATGTTCAGTTTTTGACCCTAGAGAAATACCGCATCAGAATGAATTTAGGTATGTTTAGTATGTTGAAATCATTACCGGTTTAGTTGCTATTGTTTTTAGGGAAATGAAACTTTGTTAGAACTTGTAAAAGCAAATAATGTGTCGTCAACCTACTTTTGTTGAAATGGACTTACTTCTTTTAAGTCCTTTGTTTTGTAGTCATGTAACTTTGAACAATAATGATTAAATTATTGTTTTTTTAATATGTGTCAAATATAAATTGTACATAAAACAATTCCAGTCAACTGGGTCAAATATTTTGCGAAGTGAAGTTCGCGCCTTTTTCGTGCCCGCGATATCGCCGTCCTGCAGCGCCAGACGCTGAAGAGAAAGCTCTGTCTGACACTCTAAGAAAGGCGTTGGAACCAGCTGTGTGCAGGCATTTGTTTCCTAATTATCAGGTACAGGATGATAAGAATAACAATTTGTTACTAGTGCCTGCAAATACTCAATCCGTATTATAAATTTGTAAAAAATTAAATGACTCTTGACAACAACATTGCATGCCTTATTCCAGTGTGACTATATTCAAATAATTTGAAATAATTTTACTAGTCAGGTGAAAAGTCATCATTTAATTGCAAAAATCTAGATTTAGTTGGTCCACTGTTTCAAAGAGTGTTTTACTGGATAGTAAAACTAAAAAAAAGAACTAGTAAAAGTAGTTCGCTGGTCCTGAAATTTCGATTCTAATTTCCTCTAATCTCATTAAATGGATCGTCACATTGTGCTCAGATCCATGCAGCATATTTTTAAGGAGGATTTAGTGGTTAATGTTCAGTTTGGATAAATTATTTGTAGAGACACAAAAACTACCATTTGGAAGAAAGACAAGAACAAATCAAAATGTGACTTATTTTTGTTCTGATGCTTCTCAATTATGGTCACACTGGAATAAGGTACAGAACAACATTCCTTATTTGGAATTCTTCATATGAAATTGCATTCACAACGCACATACTTCAGCACTGTACCAAGCCATATATTTAGAAATCCCAGTCCAGTGTATGCAAGCCACCATGTAATTGTCATCATTAGTATTAGTGAATACCTACCTACTACACAAGCAAACGGTTTTCTGCTGTTACGAAGTGTCAATATTGGACATTTGCTTGTAAAATAAACATACTTTTGACAGTAATGTGAAAATGTTTAATTTACTATTCAATGTATTATTGCAGATTGATGTATTCTTGTACATCCTAGAGCATGATGGAGCATGTTTAGCTGCAGCCATAAATGCTGCTGGCTTGGCTCTGGCTGACGCTAGAGTCCCAATGTATGATATCATTACTTCCTGCTCAGCTGCTATCATTGGAGACCAGATATTCCTGGACCCTACAGAATCAGAGGAACACCTTGCCAAAAAATGTCCAAATAATGAACTTAACCATGGCATTATAACATTGTCTATGTTGTCAGAATTGAAGCAAGTATCAAATATTAATCAAATTGGATCAATGGATGTGGAATGCCTAACAAAAGTCATGGATATTTTAGAACAAGAGTGTGAACAAATAGTTCCAAATATACAAAAGGTGCTTGTTATGAATGTTGTCAATTGTCATGAGCAAAGGAAACGTTTGAAAGAAGACTCTAAGGAGAGAGAGGCCATTCTTGATGCTAAACTCGAGGAATGGAAAAAATTAATACAAAATGGATGAGATTTAAACCTTGTTTTTTTTTTCCTGTGACTTGTTTGTGGGCAACTTTGGTACAAGAAGTGCCTAAGTCTCTATTATTTTACGCACTTCTAGTACCAAGCCAATGATATATGTTTAATGTTATTTAAACTACACAATATATATGTTTATTTATTTCAGAATACAGAAATATTTTAGAGATCTTGAAAAAAATTAGTATTATACTCAAGTTGTTAGCGGGTGTGCTAATTCATCCCTTCTAAGTAAAGAATCTTACACACAAATTCTTAGGAGAGCATTGTACAAACAAGAACAACTTTTTCCAGCTTAATTTTCTCGAAAACTATCACCTGTATATCTAATATATTCGAAACAAACACTAACACAAGTAAAAACCTTTCCTACCATCTGACCTAGCCTTCATTAATTCACTTGTTTCTATGAGATATACATATACAGACGGTTCTAAGTCGGTTCGTGGTGTTGGAGCTGCCCTTCTGGATGCTCAGTCTAATGCAACTTACATATGGAGGGCACACAATGACATGCGTTATGAGAGCAGAGATTATTGCCATCAAAGAAGCGTTACAGTATGTAGTGGATCAATTGTCAAATGAGCAGTCAGTTGTTAGTCTAACTAACTCAAAGAGTGCTCTGCAGCACTTGGCTCGGCGTGTCTCGGGTCATTGAGGTATGCCAATAGCCTATGAGGCTCTCCAGTTGATCCACAACATACACCGCAGAAGTGTGCAGTTTAAGGCTCCAATGGATTCCCTCCCATGTAGGATTGCGCGGAAACGAAGAAGTTGACTTCCTTGCAAAATCAGCTGCTGAAAATGGTACTGAACTCGATTGTAGGCCTTATGCCACCGACATTATTCCACTAATTAAGAAAAGACCTTAGAAAAATGGGAATATCATTTCAGAGAACAGTTGTTGGATAAAGGCCTTGGAATATGGTACAGAACCATACAGAGTAATCCACAGTGGGTACCCTGGTTTGATTCTGTCAATATAGCAAAGAAATATCTTGTATCGGCTTTTAGACTGCATTCTGGTCACATTCCAACTAATAAATTCTTTCATATGATGGGTTTTAAACCATCCCCATTGTGCAGTACTTGCAATATAATAGAGGATCTGTATCATGTATTGGTGGAATGTGACCGTAACATATTCCTGAGACGTACAATGTTTGGGGATGTAAGTTTATGCAATGGACAAATTAATTGTTGGCTCAGAGGGCCTGTATGTCTTGGCGCTCTAAACTTGTACAAGTTTTTGAACATGTCCCTTGAGTAGGGAACCCAGTCTTCCTCCCATGAGGCTGGTATAGTCTCCCAAGGTGGCTAAAACCTCAATAAAAAAATAGATTATAAAAAAAAATTATGCAACTTTTTATTGATTGAAATTAAAGTAGTTGCTATTATGGCTCGAGTACACAAAAATAAGTCCATACCAAATCTAATTATGACAATTCATGGATGAGTATTATTGTTAGTGGGATTGTCAGCAGTTTAATGCAATAACCACCTTTTGCCACAATGCACATAAATTATGTTATATTGCATCATTCCATAAAGTTTTTCGGGAGATAGACAGTTCTCTAGGAGGCAGGATTATTGTATGCATTGCTAACAGACATTCTGTGACAAAAATAACTTGTGATTTTTTTATTTATTATTCATACACACAATAGGCTTAGATCAAACCAGGGAAATTGTAAGCAAAGGAAACTAGTTTTATAAAATCATTGATTCACATGAACGCACCTCTGTCTACAAACGGTTAACTATTGTTAAATATACGGAATTAAACTAATTAATCTTCCGGCTTTTCTGGCGGTGGACCACACGGCTGCAGCATTCTCTCCATGAGATTGAATTTCACACGTGCCTTTGATTCATTTTCAACAATTGCAAAGTAGCTCAGAAGGTCTGGATGTCCCATATAACTGCAACACGAGTCACGGTGTTGATTCGTCAACCATTCGTATTTTGTTGTGTCCGCATGTCCTGTACCGATGTACTTACTCTGTAAATGCTCTAATTGACTGTGAATATTGTATCTTTCGCCCATTTTCACTGAAAAGAAGGAGAAAAAGTTATGTCTAAATTCTTTATTATATTGATAACTAC